AGTGCCTGCCGTAGAAAACCCTTATGCACATGTCGGAGTTCATTTATTCAGGACTTAGATTAGTATTAAGCATGTGCAAGAAATAGACGTACGTATAATAAATAAATTAACTAACACAATTCAGGCTTAATTCAGTATACGATGGCAGCAAGACTAAATTTAGTGGTACAACTCGTCTTTAGTCTCTAATCTTATGATACATAGCCACTAAAGTATAGTGGAAACTATTAGGTTAAGCTAAAATTAGCTTTACTGATTCGAAAGAATTTCAGTCAGACTGTGCTGCTTCTTAATCTTCTAATTTGATCCAGTTTATTATTTTTTTGCAGACTGTTATTATTACAGAAATTTTATAAAAATTAAAACTTGAACTTTCGATTATGTCGAAAAGAGTTTCTAATTCTACAATTACCAAAGGATTTACAAAGTGAAAGTGTGTTTCAATGTCCATTAAACAAAAAGCGGATTTGCTGAAAAAATGGAAAGCATCCATCTCAAAATTATGCGAGAAGTACAGCATTGGAAATTCAACAGTATATGACACAAGAAAAAGGAACTTTTTGAATTTTTTGTGCATTCCAACACCCCACTCGCAATGAATAACAGAAAAATCGTTTGTTATGCTAAAAGTGACATCATGACAAAGCAATGTTTGAATGGGTCAGACAGCGTTGCAGCGAGGGCTTGCCATTGATGGGTCCAATGCTAATGGCTCAAGCCAAGATATTCCATGAAGAAATGAACTTAAAAACTGAGTGCACATATTTGACAGGTTAGTTAACCAAATTTAAAAATCGCTATGGCATAAGGCAATTAAAAATTTCAAGTGAAAAAGCTTCAGGTGATACTGAAGGTGCTGAACTATTTTCAGATGAATTCATTGAACTGATCAATAGTGAAAAATTATCTCCAGAACGAATTTATAACGCTGATGAAATCTTTCCGGCAATATGTACCGCGAAATGCCTTGGCAAGCTCTACAGAAAAGGGTGCTTTCCCATTAAATCATTGAACAGCATGCACAAATACTGCAGGAAAGCACAAGTACAAACTTTTCGTAATCAGAAAATATACACAACCTCAAGCATTTAAAGGAGTAACGATTTCCCCCGTTACATATCATGCAAATAAAAGAGCATGGATGACACAAGCGTTAATGAATGATTAGTTTGAAAATCATTTTATACTTGAGGCTCGGCAACATTTGAATTCATTCGGTTTACCTGATGACTCAAAAATAGTCCTGATTGTAGACAACTGTTTGGTTCATACTTTACTTAAATTTTTAGTGAAAGATAATGTATTCGTACTATTTTTTCCTCCAAATTGTAAGACCATCATTCAGCCTATGGATATCAGAATAGTACACGCGCTGAAATACAATAAAGTAGCATTTTAAAAATACACATTAAATTTCTTGAACAATGGTAAAACTATTCAATATTTTAGCATGAAATGTAATGTCTCTTATGTGAAGCATCGCAAGGTCGTGGGAGGAAGTATCAGCAGATACTTTAAAAAAATGCTTCGCATAACTTATGGCCACCTATCACATTTCATGGTAAGGAAGATGATGATAGCTGCGAATATGAAGGTCTTTGGACATCGCAAACTGAAGGTGAAATTTCCCAGTTATTGTATTTTGTAAAGAAATGTGAAGAAGCGGTAATAAATGAAGATGACATAACGGAAGTTTTTCATTGCAACGATAATGCCCCAATCATCAATCAATTAACGAACGGCGAAATCTGTAGTATTGTTCTAGGTCCAGAAAATACTGCTTCCGATAGTGAAGAAAGTGACAGAAACAAAAAAATTTCGATTGTCAAGTTAGTCGGAATTCTCAACATAGTAATTACAGCACTTGAACAGTGGAACTTTGTACATGAACAAGAAATTATGTCTGTTTATAGAATTAAAGAGAAAGTATTAGCACAAAAAAAAAACTAAGCAACTTAAACAACTTACATTAAAAGAAATGTTTAATAAAATAAGCAAATAAATATCAAGCTTTTTTTTTTTTTTTTTTTTTTAAATTTTGATACCTTTTAGATCATAAATGCTCGTTATTTCATAAATTACGATTTCATATTTTTAATTGTATAATTTCTGCATGCCATCTTACCAGATTTAAATTGATGGTCTAATATCTGGAAAAATCCCAAATCCGGAATCGCCGAGAAGTCCTGACGAGTCCAGATCTCGGACTTTGTATTGCATTTATTTGTTTGCTTTAAATAAACGCTTTTTTCAATATTTCAATTTGCTTCATTTTTTTGTGCTATTATTTTATCTTTAATTCTATAGAGAGAAATAATTTCTTGTTCAGTTGCAAAGTTCCACTGTTCAAGTCCCATAACTGCCACTTTGAGAATTCCTACTAAATTGTCAACTGAAATGTTTTCCTTCTCAACAAGCTTTTTGTCACTTTCTTCTCTATCAGTAACTATATATTTTAGCTTCAAAAGCATACCTTTTTTTTTTTTTTTTTTAACCATCAGTTAGTTGACTGATGATTCGGGCACTGTCATCACAGTAGAAATCATCTTCTTTTATTACCCCTTTTCCATGAATTCCATTAATTAGAAAATTTCACTTTTTGTTTGTGACATCTGAAAACTTTCAATTTGCAGCTACCATCATATAACTTAGCTAGCATCTGATATATACTACTGGTGATGTATCAGGAAATTGGTGACTGTAGACATGTTGAGATTGGTGATTATAGACATGCTGCTCTACTAAACTTTGTCTTGCCTTTATCAAATGCTGAGAAAGTTAAGCCTGAACATTTTTCCTGTACATTCTTAAGGCTTACCCGAATCCCAATTAAATGAATAACCCAGATATACTTAAGGGTTATTCAAGGCTGACACAAGTCATTTTGCATCCTAGTACAGTCTCTGCAACTCTAAAATTTTGCACCTTCCTAACTTCTAAAAACTTTGTCACCCCTAAATTTTGTGCTCCAGTAACTTCCCTAAATTCTAAAAATTTTTCCTTTAAAAATTCACCCGGCCAGCGCAGCCTTAACCAAATTATCAGTTCTGGCTCCGGTCTTGGTCTGAACTAAATAACAAATCAGTTATTCTCAATTCAAACAGCACTAAATGTAATCCTCTGGCCTTTGAGTATCATTTACACAATCTATTTTTGGCATACGGAAAGAAATTTTTATTAAATTTCTTCTATCAACATACTCAACACTTTGCAATGGAAGTCTGTAATCATCACCAAGTGTTAATATAAAAGGTTACCAAGCCGTTTAGAATTCAATTACTAATGTTGAATTTAAAAAAAAAATATTGCTTAGATATTGCTGCATGAGTCATTTCCCAAACTCAAATGCACTGATAGTCACAAAGTGATGAAAGGAACAAAAAATAAGTAATGATTCGACAAATTAGAATCAGCACCTAAGTGAAATTACTAATTAGAACTCTCCACTTGTTTTTCTGTGAAAAAATATCAAATATGGAAACATAAAGCATAAAAAATTTTTTAAAAGAAAAGGGAAAAGTTGTTGATAATCCAGAGGTTCAGACTGGGAATCTGGATTTCGGACTTTATACTGTACTTCTAAAAAGAAGAAGGAGCACAGAAAGTAGTACAGACTGATAAAATTGTTTCAGATACAATTGAGTGAAACATTTTCTGCCCTCCCCCCCCAAAAAAAAAGAGATTAAAGGGTCTCTTTACCTAATTTTTCTTTAAGAGAGAGAATTTTTTATGACACTTTTTGAAACATCAAGTTTTATTAACTGAGAAGACAGATCTCTAATTTTTTTTTTCTTTTCTTTTTTTTTTTTTTTCCTAACCTCCTTGACTTCTGCAGAAAAATTTCAGATTTTCCCATACTTTTGGAAAAAAAACTTTATATTTTCACCAAATTTCCCTGATATCTTTTCTATTTTCCTAATTTTCCAGGATTTTTCAGATGAGTGGAAATAAACGTACAGTACAAAGTCCTTAATCTAGACTCATCGGGACTTCGGTGATTCCGGATTAGGGGTTTTTCCGAATTATAGATCATCAATTTAAATCTGATAAGATGGCATGCAGAAATTATAAAATTAAAAATATGAAACTGTAATTTATGAAATAAAGAGCAATTATGATCTAAAGGGTATCAAAATTTACAAAAAAAAAAAAAAAAGCTTAATATTTATTTGTTTACTTTACTAAACATTTCTTTCAATGTAAGTTGTTTAAGTTGCTTTGTTTTTTGTGCTAATACTTTCTCTTTAATTCTATAAAAAGACATAATTTCTTGTTCAGTTCCACTGTTCAAGTCCTGTAATTGCTGTGTCGGGAATACCGACTAACTTGTCAATCAAAATTTTTTCGTTTTCAATAACCTCTCTGTCATTTTCTTCACTATCAGAAGCAATACATCGAAACATGCTTTCGCTTTGTAAAGCCTTTGGCAGCTCCAGAATCGGAAACTCTTTTTGACATAATCAAAAGTTCAAGCTTACTTTTTATAAAATTGCTCTAACAGTCTGCAAAAAAAATAATAAGCCAGATCCAATTAGAAGATTAAGGAACAACGCAATCTGCAACATTAACTGAAATAGATAATTAGATAATTTTAGCCTAGCTTATACCATCCGTTATACATTAAACGCGCATGCGTAAACGTATTATGCGCATGCGTAAAGGTATTATGCAAATGCGTTTACGCTTGGGCAGAAAGTTTGTAGCTTTGAGGTCCGGATTAAAAACTTTGTACTGTAGTATACGTAAACATTCCAACAATTATTAACAATGCACAATATTAAAAATAAATTAACAGAAAAATTAGAAAATGTTAAAACAGAAAAAATATTTTTTGCCTACCTTAACAAAACTTAATAGCATACTATATGCAAGTATAAATTAAAGAAAGAAACCATTATTTAATTTTATTTACAGTTTAGGATATATTTGGTTTAACATTCACTTTCTACTTGCTTGTCAATTTTTAAGCATCTAATCCACATATAAAAGAAATCACTTACTTCTAAACAAATTTTTGAATGTGTATCCATTTGGGAAAGCATTATAAATTGTTTACAAGAGGGGCACATTTCAGTTCGTGAGCCACAATAAAGATGATGATCTTCTAATTCATCCATGGGTATAACAATTTCACAATATTTGCATGAAACAGGTCTTTTAAAACAAATTTCCTAAGAAAAAGGGAAAACGTTAAATTTTACATGTGATATTTAAAGAACAGAAGGGAAAAAAACAATCACTTTTGAATTACTTTTAAGAGAGCACTCCTTAAGCTTACTACAATTCCAGAATCCTTACAGCAATCAAATACAAAATATGCCTTATCATATACAAGTTTTCAAATTATACAAAATACATAAGGTAAGTCCATTTCCTAAAGGATTAGAAATATATAACATATTCTAAATAAAAACACAAAATTAATTGCAATATCATCTAAAACTTACAACTAGAAATTTAGAAAGTATTTAATTTTCCTCTTTTTTATATCACCAAGACAAAAACAATGAGCTACACAAAATAAGTACAAAAGATTGACAGAAGATCAGTTATGACTCAATATAGCATTATCTAGTATCTTTACTTCAACAAAAAGATCTCCCATTAATCTTTAATGCTTATTTGCTGGTAATATTTTATGTTGTTAATCTTTTATGATATATGATGTAAATAGGCTTCTTTTCTTATATGTTAAATAACTGTATATAAATTTATATATATTTCTTAAATCACTAATAATTAGTTGTGCGGTACAACCACTACACTACTACAATAAATGTTTTAATAGCAATAAGCATTATGACTTTAAGCTTCTTCATAGCTTGGTACCTCATTTCTACCAACATGTCATCTGGTTGTCATTACCTTGAACTTGGGTTCAAATCCCACAAAAGACATGGATGTTAGCAACTGCATAGTGTCTTTGAAGCATGGGACATTTAAAATATTGTCGACCTGAAAGACTTCTCAAATGCTTTGTGGAACGTAAAAAGGGGTGGGAGACTCTTAGACACATATCCAATGGAATTTTTCTTCAAACCTTGGGAGGAAGATAGGCAAATCTGCACTTTCACTTATAAGAAGTCAAGGCATAAGCCAATGTCATGTGTAATCCTAGCCTCTTGGCCATGATTATATTTTTAGATATGAAAAATCAAACATTTAAGTTCACATTAATACCATATTTATAACAATCAAATAATAATATATTCTTTAAAAAAGGAATAAAACTCACAAGACCCAGGAGGAAAAAGTATAAATAGAGGATACAGACAAAAAAATTAAATCACTTGTCATAAATTTTCACATTACACTGCCATAGTTTATTAGTTTTCAAATAAAGTCACATATCACGCCCATTAAATGTTCAGTTTTCTTGATGCAAGGATTATATATCTGTAACACTTTGTAAATGCTTCACTACATGCTCTTCCATCTTGGACAGGTCTAAAATTTAAATCATTTTCTCAAAATATAAGAAATAGATAAATAGCAATTAACTTACCTCAGTCTTCACAAAAACCGAACCGGGTTTTAAAACTAATCAGATAAAACTAAGGCGAAGATCTTATGAATGCATTGTGACATTACACTAATCCATTATTGGTGCTAATCACATTGTTTAGTGACAATTTTTATTTATTCCAAGTTGCAGTCCTACAATCATTTAATGAATTTTTAAATTTTAAAATATTCCGGTTACATTAATTATGATAGATAGTTGAAGCTTAATATCCATCATTATACAGAAAAATATACAGTACATTTTTGAAAGAAAAAAAAAATTCCTGTTTGTTTCTGATTTAGATAAAGAGCTTGATATCTCTTTGTTAGATCATTTAAAAAAATTTACAACTTTCTGGCTATCTACCGAAAAGTGGCAAACATGTTGCTGACCTTGGTACGAAACATATCTTACATCTATTTCAATGATGTACTCGGTGACACCTATTTTTTTAACATTCTTTATATATATATATATATACATATATGATGTAAAAAATATAAAAAAAATATGATGGCTTTGCTCTACGCGAACAGGCAAGCTCTAATTAACTTTCCACAATTTCAGAATCTTCCCCTAGCCCAGTACTTTCAAGAACATTCTGGCATGTTACATAATCGCTACTACAAATGAAGAGTTCACACCATTTTTTCATCAGACTGCTCCCTGCCATCGCTGCCATATGATCTTGCACTGCTCTGTCATCTCTTCTTCCCTTTGTTAGAATAGTTATGACATTGAAAGCTTAAATTTATACTTATTTTAATTTAAATCAGTATTGGATATGCAGTTTTTGCAGAATATGAAAGAATAATGATCTGCTATTTTAAGTGAATAAGGATATGGAGTTTTAAAAAATTGAGATTCTTCTGTGTCTTCAATTCGGCTGTTTTCTACTCCACAACGACCACACTCGGACCCTGCTAAGCTTCATCATTTCCATTGCTGATCTACTGCAAAAATCACATACATATAAAGAACGTTAAAAAATCGGTGGCATATAATAATATATAAGACATACAAATTTCTCGTTGCCAATCGATAGTTGCATTTGAGGATAGTCTCAGTTTTTCCCACAGAATTCTGATGACAAATAATCCTTAGTCCAACAATACAGGAAACTATTCCAAATAAAATACAGGTATCTTCAACCAGTTCCCTACCTACATTCTAATACTTTGCTTGGAATCTTTCAAAGTGCATGTTTGTAAATTTTGGTTATTTAAGAAGTACAGTTTCATAGACTGTGAATTTTGTTATCCCCTATTGTGGAGCAAAATGCCAACTTTTCTTTAAATGCAACACTTTCTTTTTCCTTGGCCAGTAAAGTTCCAAACCCCACGATGATTCATTATGACAAAAATGAATGCACTCAGTGCAAAAATTAACAATAATCTCCTTCAAATTTTACAAGTGAAAATCCATGTGTATTTAACTATGAATGTTCTATACATCTGACCTGGCACATAAATACTTTTTGGCAACAAAATGCATTGCTCCTTCAATACTTTTTTGTGACTCATTTCGGTGGAGACGTAGATAATCAGAAAGGAAAAAAAAAAACTTTTTTATTATATTTTTTTGTCATAAGCTAAACAATTTTTTAATAAAAATCTATTCCATGATAAATAAAAGGGCAAAAATATCATCATTATTTACACAAAAAAATCAAATTTCTAACTTAATCCATTTTACACTTCCATAGCTGCAACCTTGAAATATGTAAAAGTGGGAGGTTCTTATGCCCAAAACTAAGAGTTTCTGAGAGGTTTTCATGTTCAAAACGAAGTCACTACAAAGTTGGCTTAAACCTACTTTATAAATAGTGCAGTACTGAACTACTTATAGTACAATAATATATAAAATATATTAATATTTGATTAACTACCTTAAATTTTATAACTTTAGCTAATTTCATTTTTGAGTTTCTTTCATTATAAGCCTGGCCTCGGAGCAGCACCACAGGTCTGGGGTTCGATCCCCAGGCTGGGTAAGGTTGACTCAGGCTTTCATCCTTGGAGTGAATCGATACAATGAGCACCAAGTTCACCTGGGGACTAAACACTGAGGGTCCTGCGGTAAGATAACCACTTGTCCAGGCTAAGATGCACAAGCACCCCGGAGCCCACGGCCTAGAAAGCAGATATCAGGACACTGCCAGGCATTGCTCTCTATGGGTTGTTTGTGCCACTGAGTTTAGTTTCTTTGATTTTTATAGACAGCTTTAATTTTATCAAAATACTTTTCAATATGATGAAAAAATTAATAATCAGCATACATACTATTGTGAGGCTGAACTTAGTAATGTAACAAATTTAATGAACAGTATTTTTTTAACTATATTTTGATAAAATCTTTATATGAAGTTCTATAAATGTCTATACTAAATTAGGATAATTCAGGCCAAATAAAATTTAATAAGAAAAATCATGTTAATGGGTAAGGATAGTGGGAATAAAATATGCACACAAGTTACTTTATTGCTAAGTAACTTTATTTATTGCTAGGAAATATTTTCCTTAGCAATTTTCCTTATGACAGGGTAAAAATTAAAACCTGGAAGATTTAGGGGTCGGTTGGCAGATGTGACGAAAAACCTACTGTACCTAGTACCTAGTAGGAGAGCCTTCTAGTAAACCAGGAAGAGTTGACAGCTTTTTCATAAGCCGGATTGTCTGTATTTTAGGGTACGCCTTGGATTATCGCCAGGTTGCTGTTTCATTTATAGTAAACTGAGAATTTTACGTTGTATGTTATGGAAACCCTATGTGATTAGTTGTATTGCATGATTGTGGTGATTTTGACTGTTGGGAAAATATTTCTCAAAGCTTATTTATGCCTTGGACGTTGGTTAGGAAGTACATTGCTTATTTTGTGTTTTACACTGTAAAATGTACGCTGGTGGTACAATTAACCTGAAGCTTCTGTATGCATTGGAATGAAGGGAAATAGAAAACATTGATTAACTGGTGTATAAATGAAGATTTAAATGGTTTCATTCACCTCTCAGTAAATTACAGAGTCATATATACGGATTTGGAAACCAGAGCTCATACCAACACTGTAGAAGGTATAAGGGGTGTAATAAAAAGGGATTTTCAAAAGAATTGCCACCGACAGTCCAGCAGTATGGAGGATATTTTTTATTCTTACTTTTGTGAATTTTTTGGCAGCGGAAGTATACAGATAATTTTAAACAGTTTTTGGATGCTGGAGCCAAAAATTCTGTGAGCCACAAAGACAGATATTTCTAAATGAGGTAAGTCGATATTTACTTTTTGTACTGAGCAGATAAGATAACATGTATTTCCATTTTTATTTTATTTTGATTTAAAATGCAGTTTATTCAGATAATTTTTTTTATCCTTTAATAGTATTTTACAGCATTATGTTTTGAATGCTATTTACTTGGGAGGGCGTTGCACGTAAACAAGAATTGTGCCAAAAAATTGCCCATTTTTACCAAGGGGTAGCCTGAAAAATGTTTTTTTCTCATAAGCCCAGTGAATTTGAATAAAAAGTCTAAAATTTTACTCTCTATCCTCAATTACATACTTGTGCAATTAAGCCTTTTAACAGCATTATGAAAATATTAACCCCTTAACTGCCGCGGGCGCATATATACGCCTTGCTCAGCCGATGCGTTAACTGCCCCAGGCGTATATATACGTCCTTCCAAACTGCTATCATTTGCTTTGCGCTGCTACACCTAAAATTATTCGCAAAGTTAACGCATTGGCTGCGCATCTGGGCGCATCTGGGGGGCAGTTAACGCATCGGCTGAGCAAGGCGTATATATACGCCCGCGGCAGTTAAGGGGTTAAACATAACTGTACAAAATTATATTCAACTGACATATGTAGGTCCTACGTTATAATAAAATTCAATTTTTGATAAGTACTTATCAAATACCAGTGATTATATTGCTCCGGTACTTCTCAATTTTTAAGATAAATTACAATGTTAGCCGGAGCACACCGGAGCCCTAAATAAGATGAGCTTCTGTACTTCATTTTATAAAACTGAACCACAATTTAAAGGGGGAAAATTTACAATTCCTAACATTTTAGTTTAACAATAAGCAGACTTTGCAATACTCTAATTCCCTAGATATACAAACTCATGAGAACATGAGACGTTCAAGTAAAGTCCCCTCACTCACATGCGGAAACCTTTCCCTTTAAAAAGAAGGGCAATAAATTTGAGGGAGTTTGTTTAAGAACGCGTAAATTTCCTGACATGCCATCGTATCTAGTGTATTGTTATCAATGCTTACAGTTAGTTATCCCCGCAGGAAGGACAATTTGTGTTCTTAAATGTGCGTTAAGTGACAGCGAGTACAATATGAGTGAAATACCGAGATAAACTGCTCAAGCATGTCCTATATGTCTTCCCACAGTATCCCCAGGAATTTTCATCAGCTATACTTTTAAGTATATTTAATTTTTGTGATGATATCCCCCCCCCCTATTATCAGAGCTTAAATTGGGCCGGAGCCCATCAGATCTCAGCTCCGGTGCTTCTTAGTTTTTGTAATAAATCTCCGGAATGCACTGGAGCCCTGAATAAGAAGGCTGTGGCTTTTATTTTAACAATAAAATTATATTAAAAATCTCTTATTAAATTTCAATTCATCTCTTTACATTTTATTTAATTTTTAATAACTTGAATCTTTAAATATTTCAATAAATAATAATTAATATCTAATAATTATCAAATAAATTATAATTAATTAACTATATAATAATTATTGATTAAATAACAATTTAAAAAACATTAATTAATTTGATAATAATTAACTATTTAATTAAAAAATTATTAATGAGTTTAATAGTCATTTTATTTATTTATTTACTGTTGTTCCTCTTTGCTGACGGTCTTCCATAGCGCTTCTGCACTTCTAATCTTAGAAATTAAGCCCTGTCAAATACATAATCAATTTGTAGGTGAAATATTCTTCAATTCATTACTACATACAATCATTGTGTTCCCTTTTAAGATTGGGACTTTATGTGCTTCCTGGTGTGTTTACTGACAATAAAAAAGAATTACCATAGTTTCATTTTCTCTTTGAACATTCATAAGGCTAAATTTCTTTCCATCTAGTTGGTCATACAAAGTATTAACCACTTAACTGTTTCATTTTCTTGCCATATTGTGGCCAAAAATAAGAATTTTGGTTACAGTAGATTTAAGGGTGCCCTTTAGCTTATCGCTAAGTTGTCATTTCATTTATCGCCATGTTGTTGCTTCATTTCCAAACATCAGTTTGGTGCCCCTTGGATTCTGCGCCTGAGGACATATGCCCCCCTCTAGCTACGCCCCTGATTATCAGTATCAATCTACTGCAGGTGTTCAGTTTAAATGCATTGTCAAATGAAAAAAGTATGGAATCATTATATTACATACAAAAGTAATATAATTTCAGAACTTTTTTAAATATCTAAAATTTAATAAAACAAAATACTCTATGCTTTTCGAGCATCCACTTCTCCATTGGCATACTACAGCAAGAACAACTATCCATTGTGTGACTTTCCTCCATATGGCGATCCATTTCGCTACGTGGTACTGGTTCATCACACTGATTACATACTCGGAGTTTTCTCTCGCAGAATGCACTGTGGATGGCAAAATTGTTCACAGAAACATCTCTCTTACTGAAAATACGAAATGTATCATTATTTAATTATAATATTTGTCTAAGCATGAATTACAAGCAACTATACTGCGCACTTACCAATTGTTGCATAATTTCGTTTCCAAATCCATCATCAGGAATTCAAATTTCAAATACAAATAAAATATTTAAAAAGGTAACTATCGGAATTTATAAACATATATACATGATTAAGTCACATGTAATAATACTTAGTTCTCAGTACTATTATACTAATAGTTCTCAGTACTACGAATTTGCAGCACACATGCTAAGTACTATGAAATAAGGCATTATCAAAAATGATAACTTATACAAATAATTTATATTCCTAAAATTTACTGTCAGAAAACTGAAACAATCATTAGATCACTATGAGAGTGGCAAATTTAAGGAATATTGCCCGATCTTATGACTTAGCGTGATAACAATTTTCAAACTGAAACTGAAACTTAAAAATAGTTACAGTTACGTTTAACTTCAAATCATTGGTATGCCACCAACGTATAAAAACTCAGGCCTTTCTTAACAGAACCATGGGCTTCTGGGATTTTGTGGTTTTTAGAGGTCTTTATCAACACAAACTGTCTCAGAAATGACAAAACATTCGCCAAAATATGAATCTCTAAACACACAGAACGTCTTAGAGGGTAACATAAGATTTCTAGGAGCCTTAGTCTCCTGGGTTAGACTAAGGCTGATCCAGGGGCTCCATTCTGACCTCCTTGGGTTACACAAAGTGATACTTGGGGGTATGTCAAAAAAGTAGGCTGACGATCGCTTGCGAGTGTATGATCGTGTATCACATAAGATCATATATGGCATGATCTACAAGTGCATTATTTTTCGTCTTCAGGCGGCAGGCAATCAAAAAATGTTTGGAAGATTGCTTCTGTAGTGGCAACGCTACTAAATATTTGTAAGGATTCGAAGTGGTTGTTGTGTGAATGTGTTGAAGTTTCATATCTGTTTTAATTTAAATTTACGGAGCGTAGTAGAGCGAGAGCTACTTTTTCATTCCTAAATCATGCCTACATTAACTATCAACACAAATATCCCGAAAGCAAAGATTCCAGATGGATTTTTGCAAAGTACAGCTAAATTAGTTGCAGAATTGCTTGGGAAACCGCTTTCTGTAAGTTACAGCCCATTTAAAATTAATTGTATTATTTGTGTTGTGAAATTGATTCATTGCACTATATCTTTTAAGAAGCTGAACTGTTACTCTTTGCACCAAGACCGAAATTTTATTCTAAATTTTGTATTTGAAGCTATTCTATTTATGTGCCTGATTCAACATTTTCATTTTTTCTCCGACTTTTGGAGTATGTGAAGTTATCATATGTTCCTTATCGCTAACAGAAAATGAACGGTTTTTGAATATTGGCCGTATCTAGTGGTAGAATTTAAAAAAAAAGAATGAACCCGTTCTTCCCAAATAAACGATAAAACTACTCAAATGTTACAAAACCATTCCTCTTACGTTCATTTTGTTGATTTATCACCGTCATTGTTCGCATTTGCCGATTTAAATTATTCTTCACTTATTCATTATTACTTTTTCGTATTTTCACGTTATTTTTTATGAACTTTTAACAATAAATAAATGGAAATATTTTCATATAATAAAGGAAGTTTTCGGTGGCGCAGAACCATGAGGTTTCCAACTCCTAAAATATTTTGACTTCATGGACCGGCTCAAACCTTTAATCAGATAATATATCGTTAATGCTTTTCCAACAAAAACCTTTGAGAAGATTTCAGGTGTGACGCACAAGTAGATGATTAAATTGAAATAAAAAATATTATTGATTCTCTAAAATGAGAATAGTTTTATGGATCTCCAAAGTCATTAAAATTAGCAAACCGCTACTTTTGTAATGAATCTTCAAAAAGTAATAAAATATACAATGGAAATGTGGCCATTTTACTTCTAAAAAAATTTCACTAACCAAAAATGTAGTAAGTTCCCAGAAGTGAATAATTTAAGTATTGCTGTATCTCTTGCTAAGACAAAAATTTGAACCTGGGAGAGAAGCAGAGTCGTAGCTAGGGTTTTCAGCGCCCAGGGACAACTGAAGATTTCGCACCCCCTACTGCTTGCCAAGGATGGAAAACATAATTCTAAAATGTCGTAACATCCGTTTGGCGCCCCTTCGTTTCTGCGCCCGGAGACAGATGCCCCCCTCTAGCTACGCCCCTGGAGAGAAGCATGGCTATGTAAAATGAAACCAAGAAACAAAGCAACCTGAGATTTTCATAGGGTTTTATCCAGTAAGAGTATTTAGATTTTTTGGTTTTGTTTGAAATTTAATATGTATTTAATGCAAAATCAAATAACCCGAAGAAAGGAAAAGCCCTAAGTATCTCATAGTCTTCGTAATTTTTTTTCAACCAATTACTATTGTAAAAAGTGCCCCAAAATTAATGCAAGATTTGAATTAAATAAAAAAAAAAGTTTTTTTCTTTAAATTGATATTTTTTATTGAATTGTAGAGTGCACAGGATAGGGTTATATATGGAATAACACATCGGGCAAATGGCCTCAACGGCTTTGCTGTCACAAACTCACAATTTTGTTGAAATTTTTTATGACCAATTTGCATAAATGTGGCTGAATTTCATTGATTCAGTGTTGAATTTTCTCCTGCAGTGCGTGCATGTTTGTGGGCCTGTTGGCATAAATCTTTGACTTCAAATAACCCCATAAATCCAATGGTGTTAAATCACACGATCTAGGGGACCGATTCTCATTACCGAAATGAGAGAGTATACAGCCATGTCTCGTGCAGTAATTGAATTCTTTCATGAGCTATATGGCATGTGACACCGTCTTGTTGAAACCACATGTCGACTATATCAATATCATCCAATTCAGGCAGAAAGAACTGTGTTATCGTGTCGCTATAACAATCATCAGTAACATTCATTGCTTGACTAGCTTCGTGGTCCAGTGATGCTTCCAGCCCAAAATCCGCATCCAACAGTGACATGTTAAGGATGCATTTGTTTTTCGACAATCACATGTGGGTTCTCTGAACTCCAAATGCACCAATATTGACGATTAACAAAGCCATCAAGGTGAAAATGGGCTTCATCGAAATTTACTAACTGTGGCCGCCAAACTATCAATTTTTTTGAGATTTTTTCAACAATGAAAATACGTTTTGTACTATCGTGTAATGCTTCTTTTCTACTAACCCTAAACTATCAGCTTTCAATTTTTTTTTTTTTAATAGGGTTGTCAAAACTTTACTGCATGAATAATGGCAAATTTAAATCTTGCGTTAATTTTGGGACACCTTTTACTATGCAGAATTCCGTATCAAGATTGTGTCATTTTCAGTTGGAATTTCGTTTCACAAAGTTTTTTATGACCAATTTGCATAAATGTGGCTGAATTTCATTGATTCAGTGTTGAATTTTCTCCTGCAGTGCGTGCATGTTTGTGGGCCTGTTGGCATAAATCTTTGACTTCAAATAACCCCATAAATCCAATGGTGTTAAATCACACGATCTAGGGGACCGATTCTCATTACCGAAATGAGAGAGTATACAGCCATGTCTCGTGCAGTAATTGAATTCTTTCATGAGCTATATGGCATGTGACACCGTCTTGTTGAAACCACATGTCGACTATATCAATATCATCCAATTCAGGCAGAAAGAACTGTGTTATCGTGTCGCTATAACAATCATCAGTAACATTCATTGCTTGACTAGCTTCGTGGTCCAGTGATGCTTCCAGCCCAAAATCCGCATCCAACAGTGACATGTTAAGGATGCATTTGTTTTTCGACAATCACATGTGGGTTCTCTGAACTCCAAATGCACCAATATTGACGATTAACAAAGCCATCAAGGTGAAAATGGGCTTCATCGAAATTTACTAACTGTGGCCGCCAAACTATCAATTTTTTTGAGATTTTTTCAACAATGAAAATACGTTTTGTACTATCGTGTAATGCTTCTTTTCTACTAACCCTAAACTATCAGCTTTCATTTTTTTTTTTTTAATAGGGTTGTCAAAACTTTACTGCATGAATAGTAGCAAATTTAAATCTTGCGTTAATTTTGGGACACCTTTTACTATGCAGAATTCCGTATCAAGATTGTGTCATTTTCAGTTGGAATTTCGTTTCACAAAGTTGCTTCAAATTACTTCTAAACTCAAGATTGCTGTTTTTCATATCATCAAAGAAACTTTTTTAAAATTAAAATGCGTTGTAGGAAACATCGGCATTCTATAGAAATATAATGCTGGATAAATTCTACGGAAATATAATGCATTCTATAGAATGCCTAGGCATAGTGTATAATGCTGAATGATTTTAGGCAAAGTATGAAATATGAGAATTATTACATACTTTCCCTAGGCATTGTGTATAATATCTAGGCATTCTATCGAATGACAAATGCTCTTTAAGCAAAGTTTGTAAAAAAAGGTTATGATAAGGCTATTATTTAAAGGACATTTATTCCACAAAATTACAAATATTATTTTGAAAAATTAATGAAAGTGTGCCTTAAAAAAACTGGGTACTATTCGGTTTCAAGGACCGTAAAAAATCGCCAATGCTGCCAAAAATAATTGTGGCAAGAAAGGAAGTATAATAGTAAATAACTATTTAAGATTGATGTTTTAATTTAGATGAAAGGTTAATTTCATATAATACTTTTTTATTATTATAATTTATATGAAAAAGGCTAAACATGACTGAATGGAAGCATAAGAGTAAATAACTATTTCAGATCATTATTATAATTTACATAAAAATTGCTAAACATAACTGAATGGATGCCTTCATCGCTATTTCGCTACCGACTTATCGCTAAAGCATAATTTCATCTCGTTGGTTGTTCGAATGAAATTTTCTATATTGAATGATGCATTTTCTTTGAAAATATTCTCGGTAAAGTGCAGAATCGCTCACTTATTTGTATGCTGCTTTTTAGAAGGGTAAAAACAATTGGATTTTTGTTAATTTTCATTTACTTTTTAAGTGAAAATAGGTCGATGTGCACATGGATACCGAGTATGTGCAATTTTTAAAAACGCGTCAAGCAGTGGGTGATTCTGCACTTTACCCAAAATTCTATTGCCGACTTTTCGTCGGGCAATTCCCAAATTGTTAAATCCATAGGATATCAAAAAAAGGATTTAAAATCAAAAAAAGGATTTTAAAAATAAACTAGTATTTCAATGGCGTCTTAAGAAATATAGAACTATATAAACTTACTCAATCTGAAATCAGCGCGTACGCTAGATTTGGCGCGCTGTTAAATGGGCGCGTTTACTAGATTTGGCGCTTTTGCGCATACATTTTCGCTGCAATTTTTTTACGGCCCTCGAAACCGAACAGTACCAAAAACTGTTATTTGAAATACGTAAAGTGAGATAATCTTGATACAACGTAATAAATTTGTGTTTTGTATCTGGCTGAGACTGGGAATCGTTATGATCTACATGACAACAGAAATTAAATTCAGAAACAATTGTAAGTTTCACAACAATGCCCTTTATAATATTTTTTTGTTTCTTCTGACACCTCACAAAGGTGGTTTTACAGTTCAGTATCATGACATGTAACATTTTTTTTATCAGGTTGAAAGTTCTTTCAACATTCTGTCACGTCGTCCATGTGCAATACTCAAATTAGTTTTCATGAAGCACGAGAAATAATTCGGTGTCCGTGACCTAATACTGTATTGTACTGATGCTTTCTTTAATAGGATAAATGTTTTCCCACAGACATTATTAACACCAAGTTTGGTCATATCCTAGTGTTACAGCAGCCAGTATTTCTGTGGTTCCTTCTTAGTAGTCATTTTGGCCTTTTTACATCATTAACTTCTGGTAAGTAATTTGGTTTTTCAAAACTAATCAGAAATGTATTTCATTTGGCATTCTATAGAATGCCTAGGGAATATGTGAAATATGAATTGTTTCATACATTGTTGGTTAGTTTTAGGCATTGTATACAATGCCAGATTTCAAACTTTGCAGGTAATAAATATATCAGAAAAAAATAGTGTCTAATGAATGCACATAAAAACTGAATTCAGTGAAATTTTTTTTGTTGAGCATAACTCTGTTTATTACCAGTGTCCCTAATATGTGAAGAACATATCACACTTTTAACGTAAAGTCAGGAATACTATTAATTGAAATATATCGAGAAGTAAAACTCTCTCAGAAACGTGATCAGATTTAAAAAATTAATCTGGATCAATTGTAATATCCATGTCTGCGTGGGACATTGTGCTGTTTTGGGAGGAAAAGGGAATAAATGATTGAAAAGGAAAACCTCTATTATGTAATGTAAATCCATTAACATTTTTTAAATTCAGGTCATAAATTCAATTCACAGTATCAGAAATTCAATTGTTATTTAAAATTAAATTGGAATAACATTATTCTTTGGATAGCTAAACGGTTTTGCAGCTGTTTAAATCATATTTATGTAATTAAAAAGCAAAATAGGAATTTCTTTGACTCTAAAATGCTGCTTTTCTTAAATTACTATTAAAAATAATGTAACAGAGCAGAATTTTTTTTCTTTTTGGCTAGTGCATGCTATAATTTTTTTGATCAATGGGTAAATTCTAAAGAAAAAAAAAATAATTCTGCTGAATTTTAATCTCGACTACGTTATACAATTCATGTGAAATTTTAGAAATAGTGCATTCCTCTCCCCCACATGAAATTTTATGTATTGCTAATTACATCAGTGTAAAGTAATATCATAGAAGTGATGTATTCTCAGCAGGCTTAAGTAGAGAAAATTAGTTGGGAAAAGTTGATTTTTTTAACGTACGTAAATACGTTAAAAAAATCAAAATTTAGTTAAACTGTTAAATAATGGTAATATTACATTATTTTACATTGTACTGATGTATATAGTGCTACTTAGTATTAATAAATTACTTCTAATTAGTTAAACTTTTTTGATACTTTTCTATTATACAACTGCCACACATTTTGGTGGGTTTTTTAATTGTAAACATTGTTAGCTTCTCTTTCACAGGTGCCAAAAAAGTGTGGTAAATGCATAACAAAAAACTGCTAATTTTTTTATATGTATATACTTTGTTATATTTGTCACGAGATCTGCTTTCATATTTTCAAATTTTGAATGAACTCTGAAACTGAGTTTGTTTCTAAAAGCGAGCAAAAAGCAAAATTTAATTAATCATTAAAAACTGAATTATTAATTTTGAACTCATTATTAATTTTGGTGAAATAAATTGAGAATTCTATGACATATTTCACTAAATTTTTTAGGGAAGTTACTAAATTGTTTAAATTTTATAGCAGAAGTTATAAAATATTTATTTTCAAATTAATTAAATTTAGCCTCTTTAGCAACCACATGAGTGCATTGTTAATTTCTTCCAGTTTCTCCCCTTTTCTTTTGTTTTTCTCCAGTTTTTTATTTCTAGAAGAAACACAACTCTCCTTTAGGCCAAAGTGCTTGTTTGTATAACTCAGGCTTTCTTAAAAGTTGTATTCTTGATGCAATGTTGAGTGTTCGGACATATCAAAATGAGTAAATTTTGTTTCGGTAAAAATTTTTTACATTATTTTTAAAGTGTATTATATTTTATTTTTATTTATGTGCATTTTTATGGAGACTTGTATGCGATGTTAGTAAGCATGATAAGTAGTTATTTTAATGAGCCGTCATGTATGTTATTTATTAATAAATAAATTTTATTTTTTTCTTAGTATGTTGTTGTCCACATCAATCCAGATCAACTGATGTCATGGGCAGGATCATCTGATCCGTGTGCTGTTGCTTCATTAGGCAGTATTGGAAGTTTGGGAACAGCTCAAAATATTAAGATATCTGGAAAGCTGTTCCCTCATATTAAAGAAACTCTTGGTATAAATGAAGATAGGTAAGTAGAAATTTTGGTAAAAGTATATTTACAGGTACCCCTTGGTGATTTTTGGCGGTATCCATGTACACATCAACCTATTTTCACTTGAAAAAAAATCTCAGAATTGCACAAAAATGGTATTGCGTACACCCTTTATTCATGTACATATTGACCTATTTTTACTTAAAAAAAAATCAGAGAATTGCACAAACTAGGCTTTGTGCATTCTCTTTGTCCATGTACACATCGAACTATATTCGCTTAAAAAGTCAAAAAGAGCAGCCAAACAATGAAATAACATAAAGGAAATTCATCTTTGCACTACACAAAGGAACTATCCACTTACCTTATTTACGAATTATCACGTCTTCAGTTGAACAAAATTCCTTAACAGCATCCAAAAACTTCCTAAAATTATCTGAACTAGAATCTGTCGCCACATAAATTCACAAAATAAGAGTAAAAAATACCCTCCGTAGCGACGTTCAACTGCACGCATTTTTGACGATCGACTATACTCGTTTCCTTTCAACAAACAGGATACCTGATAATGGCTACTAAGTAAACCTTGATTTGCACACCATTCAAGTAGTGTTCTTTTCCCCTTTCTTTCAAAATTGTACAGAAACTTCAAATTAATCATACCACATTCAGCCATTTTACTGTCTAAACCACAAAACAAGCAATATTCTTCCTAACCAACACAAACCACAAGCCCTTATGAATTTACGCAATCATGCAACCAATTACGTCATAATAGGATTTTCATACCATTCAACTACTCAGGCTATCATAAATGAAACAACTTGGTATACAAGGGGTACCGTTCTCTCTACTCTAACCGAAATTTTATTAAATTTATTATAAATTATATTGAAGTTTTTATCAATTTATTTATTCTCTTCTCTTCTGGTTTGCCAGATTTTAGAATTGATGATGTATGTATACATGATAATTACAGCAGTAATGTTATTGTGGAGGACGAAAAAGGCTAAATCCATGGTATTATCTCAAGATAAATAGTGAATCTTCACAAAATTTTCATAAAATGTTCATGGCTTGAAATTTTGCATTAAGAGTTTTACAATTAAGGATTTTTGCTAACATTTTGAAAGAGAGAGAGAATAAATAAGTGTACTTGATATGAAACAGTAACTGATGTTTAACTAAACAAAAATTATACATTTTGATATATATAATCCTGTTGTCAAAACAGTTCTTTGAAACCCATCTTGAACTTCAAAGCTTGTGAAGAAATAAGAACAAGGAACACCTTTTTCTGAAGGATGCAGAGTACACTTTCTATTAGCTGAGCAACTGTAAACAATTTAGCCATAATTGCTTATCCGCAGAGAAGTTAAATTTCATGAAACCTTGAATGTGAAAACTCGCGAGGCATGGAAGAGAGACTTAAAACTGTGAAGACAGATTCTTTGAGAAGAGAGGATACAGCCATTATTTAAAGATTTTAAGAATAGAAGTCTGAAGAATTTCTGAGATTGAAAGAGATAAATATGGGGGGATGTCAATTATAATAGGTGTTTAGAAGTAAAAGTGAAGTGTCGGATGATGATGGATTTATTTACATTTGTGGGAAAGGCTTGTGTAATCTCAAAAACATCTAAAATTTATAGCTTTAGCTATTACTTTAATGATGATGAATATAACAGTTTTGCTAATTAAAACATTTGTAATTTGAATTGACTGCAATTGCTCATTCATTATGTGTGGAGTAGTAATTTTTTAATGGAAGAAAACCCTAGGTAAAAATATAGTTTAGGGTACCCCTTGGCGATTTTTGGCTGGCGGTACATGGATACCGATTTTGTGCAATTCTTTGACTCGTTATTTTGGCTTGCGAAGCGGCGCCGCTACACAAAGCCAAAATAACAAGACAAACGATTGCACAAACTCGGTATCCATGTACACATCGACTTATTTTCACTTAAAAAAAATCCCCAAATTGCACGAAAATGGCATTGCGCACTCCTTTGACTTTATCATGTGCACGTCAACCTATTTTCACTTTTAAAAAAATCCCAGAATTGGACAAACTTGCATTGTGCACTCCCTTTACTTTTTCCATGTACACATGGATACATTTTCACTTAAAAAGTCAAAAGAGCACCAAATTCTACAATATAGGCAAACAAAAAATACATAATCTCAATGAAATACATTTTAAACCAAACAATAAAATAACATAAAAAAGGAAAACATGTTATACATTTAAGCCCTACCAAAAGCAATTATTCACTTACCATGATTTTCGAGTTTGCTTCGTACACCCAGTACCACATAAAAATCAAAATATCAATCATACTCAAATGACTTTTTTCAAACCAGGTACTCTTTCTGATCGAACGCTTTACATAGTGACCATCTGAACCTTTCTTCCTACAAACCCATTCAAGTCCATCTAAAGGATTTTTACGTTCTACTAGACGCATATCCTTCCTACATACAGGACACTTATAATGGCTACTTAGTAAACCTTCATTTACACACCAGTCAATTAAAGCTCTTTTCCCTTTTCGCTCCCAATCGTACAGAAACTTCAAATTAATCTTACTACATTCGGCTATTCTACCATCTAAAGAATCAAACCAGCACACACCACAAAACGCTCACAAAACATCCCATGATTCAAAATTTCCCAGAATCATGCACCTGATTACGTCACAATAGGGTTTCCATAACATTCAACTACTCAGGCTACCATAAATGAAATAACAACTTGGCAATAAATCAAACAACAACTTCGCCATAATACAAGGGATACCTTAAAGTCTACTCTACCCAAACCCTATTTTTTTCAGTGTGTTTTCGATGAAAATCATGAAATCTTTCAGCTTAGTATTTACAGTATCTACATGAAAACTTTGAAGTGACTCTAGAAAAAAGTCTACTAATTATGCTACAGTAATATAGATGTATATGCACATTATTAAATAAGCATTGGATATGTAAATGTTACTAAATAATGTAACATTACCAACAATTATTGTGTTTATATTTCGAAATTGATTGCATAAATTGACAATATTCTATAAATCAATGAATTTCTGGCAGCATTATAAATGTTACTGAATGATACATTTGAGCAGAAGGTTACATTTTTATATATTGTCCTAAATGACCATAAATTTTCTTCTGCAATGCAGTGTCTGTCATAAGTTTAAAAAAGTTTAGGGTACTATTCCGTTTTAGGGACCGTAAAAAATTGCAACAAAAATATATGTGCAAAAGTGCCAAATCTAGCAAACCCGCTCATTTAACAGCACGCCAAATCTAGCGAACGTGTCGAAGTGCGTAAATTTAGATAGTTCTATATTTATAAGTCACCATTGAAACACTAGTTTAATTTTTTAATTCTTTTCTAATAAGGCTATGGATTTAACAATTTGGGAATTTCCCAATGATGAAAAGTCTGCAATGGAATTTTTTCAAAGAGCAAGCATCATTCATGACAGAAAATTATGTTTGAACAACCACGAGATGAAATTATGCTTTAGCGGTAACTCACTAGCGAAAAAGAAACCTGTAATGACAAGAAAGGATTAAGAAGTCAAAATTAATTAAGACACAATAACACGCCGAACAAATACTAATTCAGAAGTCAAACAACAAAAATCAGCGTTATATTCACAAAATTTTCACATGACTAGTTTCGATGGTTTTACCCAACCATCATCTTCAGCTGCAAAACCGCAAATGAACAAGATAAGAAATAATGATTAGATAAGATAAGGAAGCCTGGACAAGAATAAGCAAGTGGCGCCATCTGTTGGCGAAACCAGAACTAAAACATAATTTCTCTAAAAGCCGAAGGCAAATTTGGATTGGAATTAGGATCGTTAACTAGAACAGAAAGATTTTTATGAATGTGAAATGCCTCTAGAAAATCCAGTTCTCCAATGGAAGATGTTTTTTGAATAATTTTGGCAGCAGAAAAATTGAAAGTGTGATTTTCGGACCAACAATTTTGAGCAACAGAAGACTTCTGTGTTTCCTTTTTTCTAACATATGCCTCATGTTCTTTGACGCGAAATTTTAAGGCTCTCTTAGTTTGGCCAATGTAAATTAAACCACACTGGCAAGGAATCCTATAAATACCCCAGGAATTCATATCCGGAATGGGGTCCTTGAGTATAGAAGTTGGAATTTTATTGATGGGAGAATAAACAACTCGAAAGTTAAATTTCTGCAAAATATGTGCAACTTTATAGCTAATTGATGGAAAGAAGGGAATGACAACAGAATTTTTATAATCTCCTAAAATAAGAGTGTGGCTTTTAGTGTGTTGAGATGAGAATTTTTTAACTGCTTGATTAATAATGTTGGGTGAAAAGCCCCTGTCAATAGCTATTGCTTTTAAATAATTTAGTTCTTCGTCAAGGGCTAGTTTGGAGGAGCAAACTTGAAGAGCACGGAAAACATAGGAATAAAATGAAGCTAACTTTTGTTTAGTCGGATGACATGATTTAAAGTGTGGTGGAAGGCAAACCGATGAAGGTTTACGGTAAACTGTAGTACTGAAGTTGGATGTGTTACGTGTGACCAGAATGTCGAGAAACGGAAGAGAATTGCAAGTCTCAAGTTCAAAAGTGAACTGAATAGCAGGATCAATAGAATTCATTGTTGAAAGAACTTTATTTAAATCATCTTTATTACCTTCAAACAGGGTAAAAGTATCGTCTACGTAGTGGAACCATGCCGGGAAGTTTAAAGTTTCAAACAATTTTGATTCATAATAATGCATGTAGATATCAGCCAGGATGGGACTGAGGGGGCTTCCCATGGCTAATCCCTCAGTTTGCTTGTAATATTTATTTTGGAAAACAAAATGTGTTTGTTTCAAACAGAGTTGAGTGAGAGAAATTAGCTCATCAATTTCGATGCAAGAGAAATGAAATTCACGAAGTCTGGTTTCTAGACATCTTAATGCACCCTCCACTGGGACATTGGTGAATAATGATTTTACATCAAAAGAAACCATGAGTAAATTACTAGGAGAA